CCCTGTACAGTTATTGAAAAAATGTGTTATTACCTGGCATTGGTGCCATCCCACCAAGCCCTGGCATCGGTGCCATCCCACCAAGCCCTGGCATCATGGGCATGGATGCTGGCATCATTCCTGCCATTGCAGGCATAGGCTGGTAAGCTGGTACTTGCATCATTGCAGGGAGGCCTGGAGGCAAGTAGACACATACACAGGGAATCCTAGATCAGAAAGTCCTATCGGTCCTGCAGAACATGACACGTCAGCTGGGTACCTCTGGCTCTCTCCACACACACCAGGCAGGCACACATGAAGGGCTCATCTCTTTGCACACAGCAAAGCTCAGGTGAAAAAGGAAGTCAAAGGGAAATGTGTGGCCTGACAAGCTTTTCAGTAGCAAGAATCAGAGTCTGTTTCAGCAGCTTCAGGACCATATCCTTCAGGTCTAACAGAAACCCCTCTGACAAGGCCAGCAGAGCAAGAGGCACAAAGAGCAGTGTCAGCCAGGAGAGCAGCATGCAGCCTAGGTCTGCTGATTTGCGACTGCCTACCCGAAGAGAAGGGCAAAATTTCACATTTGGCCAAGGGGCACAGATATCTCCCATGGCGCAGCAAGAATGACATGACTAGCCACATGTGACAAACTGGTCTTATGCCAGTGATCTGAAATAGGGCCTATGGTCAGGTCCCCAAGCCTTTCCAATAGTCCTAAGTAGCTCCACCCTGCTGAAAATAGCTTTAAAATAATAGTCTTGTGCTCCACACAAACAACAAAATAATAAAGCAGTCAAACACACAAACCAGAACCTCTACAAGGCTCAGACTTACTAACCCACGGTATAGCTAGAGATAACAGGAAAAGTCGGTAAAGAAGCAATGAGAAAGATTAAAACCCTCACCTGAGAAAGGCAGTAATTGTTTGGGGAAAGTACAAGGTGCACTGACATCAATGAAGGACTTAAAATATTGGCCTAAGGAAGAGGTGGTCTGGGTCAGGAGCAAACTACCTGCTGCCTTATGCCCTAGACCAACTCAGGACAGAAGTTCAAGGCAAGACAAAGGTGACACCCGTTCATAGGCACCTTCTCCAAAGTATCTGTCTCTCCCAGCACCTGGGAGGGAGTGGTACAAATTCTAGTTACCTAAGCTGGAAGCCCAGTGCTCTTCATGAATTAGCTGAGCCCATGCAATAATTAGCACTTGAGGCATTCAAGCACATGTATCCCCACAGGTTTCTAGCTGCCCCCATCCCCTTACAGACCTGTAGAAGGAAAGATTCCTCTCTGTGTGGGTCCAATCCTCCCACCTCCTTTCATGCGCCCAGTCAGACTCTCCCCACTCTCCATGTCCTGCATCAACAGAAGAACAAAATTGTCTGTGCTCAGAGAAATGGATTTCACAGGGGGGGAGCCATCCAAACAGTTGTCTGAGCTGAGGAAAGGCAGAGGATGCTTGAGGGAGTCAGCGTGAGAGGAGAGCTGCAGGGAGAAAGGGAGGAACAGGAAGGGACCTACCGGTACCCTGGAGCCTTGATGCAGCACAGGGCTGAAGAGATCATCCACATAGTGATCCAAGCCCACAGGAGTCCTCGGGTCGTCTCTGAATCTTTCACCTAAGAGCAGAGAGAAGTCTGGTGGAAAGACAGATAAGGAGCATCCCCCTCCTTCCAGTCTTTCTTAAGCAGCCATGTTGTAGAGCACAACCCCCACCTTACCTTTACTTCTCAGGAGAAAAGTCATTGTCCCCTCTCTGTCCTAAGCTCACCCTTCCCAATGTTACCCACAGCCCTGGGCAGGAGCTCACCTGAGTAAAGGTGGTTGAAGTCTGGAGGGAGACTAGGTGGTGGGAAGGTAGGGGCCCGGATGCCTGGAGCAGGGGGGATCCTGTTGAAGGGAAAAGGAGACGAGCCCAGTACAGTGATGTAAGGAGACATGGAGCACTGGGTAACAGGACCAGTGGTGGAGCAGGAGGATGAGGTGACTCACAGATCCAGGTTAGAGTTCTGGAAGTCCTGTTCAGGGGCGAGGGGGTATGTGACTGAGGATCGAGAGGAGTTACTGGGGCTCCTGGCCTCCTCCATCTCTCCAATGAGGTCCAGCACAAAGTCACAGCCCAGTAGATTCTGACACGTGTCACCAGTGAACATGGAGACAGACCATCCTCGAGTGTTCTTATCACAGCCCCTGGTAACAGGGAAAGGAAGGAGAGAGATGACACGGCAGGTTGGGGAAAGACAGAAAGGGAAATACTGCATTCAGTTTCCTCTTGCCTTGCATCTCCTTGGTAAAGTCCTTAAGCTTTCAGGTATGAACCAATGATTACATGCACAAGATCGGGAAGAAACTAGAATCACTTAAGATTTGTTCTTTTTGCATCTTTTCTCTGAAGCAGCTCTGATACGAATAGAGAATTCACAAGTGTGACCTAGGGAAACCTGCACACATATGGGAGGCAGACGGAACGAGCACATGCTGGGAAGGTGAAAAGAGAGGGTATTTCACACGTGACCAAGCTCTGTGTAGATCTGCAGCCCTGACCAATCTGATCACTGGCCTCTTTCACAGCCCTAGATCTCCTCCCACCCTCTGGCAGTACCTCGCGTTCAGGAGCCAGGCTGCATACTGCTCCCCGGTCATCCAGGACTCCACTTCAGCTGAGAACTTCTCCTCTATGGCCCAGAAAAGAGAGAGTCAGTGCACACAGCCCCTGGCAAGGCCCTAAGCAACACCAAGACTCTGGAGAGCCCAGGCAGAGCCCAGCTCCAAGCATTTCCAACAGCTGGAAGTGCTCACAATATTGTGGCCTGTCTGGATCATTGCTCCTCTCACTAGCAAGGCAGAGGAGAGATGCCCTGCTCAGAGCTTCTGAGCAGGGAGCAGCATGACCCAATATCTGAGTGAGGAGAAAGGCTCAAAGTCAGTAACAAAACCAGTGGGTGCTGCGATCGGGCCTATGCAGTAAAGGCTAACAGGAAAATAAGGTCCAGAGAGATGCACCACCAGACAGCGATGTCTGCTGAGATGGGCCCCAATCCAGAAGAACCCCATCACTCAGGATGCCTGAGTAGCAGGTCTGAGCTGGGCAGGCTCAGGTTGGGGTCTGGATTCAGACATTCTTCACCAGATCTGGATTCAGATCACCCTTCATCAAGCTGGTGGAATATTTTCTAAATGCTGATTTCTGCGCTGGAGGAGTCATCAGGGACTAGGGAACGGGGAAAGGGTAGAAGCACGAGTTACCATTAAAGGTATGGACATCCAGCACCATCTTCCCCTTTCTCTGGTTTGCAGTCCACTCCAGCTGAGTGGGAGGGTAGGCTCGGGAGGCTGCTGGGTCAATCTCTGTGTGTGGTTTTGTTGTCAAGATCTTGCGTTGGCAAACAGCATTGTAACCTTCCATGCCATGGTCTGAGACAAATCTGCAAAGGGCAGCTGGCCTTGAGCACATTGCTCATCTCTCTCAACCCTAATCAAAGCAAAACCAGCTCTTCCCTCCTCCTTACTTCAGTAATGGCTTCTCCAGCGCTGGCGAGGGAGCAAAGGAGCTCAGCAAGGTTGTCATGAGGACCCAGGCTCGCCGGCCCTGCTCCATGTCTGGGTTCTTCCATGCCTGGCTGACCACCTGGCTGAGGATTTCGTCACGCAGGGACAGGTTCTTCAAACCTCTGCCAACAATGTAGTTGCCCAGAAGCACCTCCTGCCAGCCAGGGAGGTTCTTGTCACCAATGAACCGCAAAATCTAGAGCATCCAGGGAAAAAGGGAGAGTTTTAGCTGCAAAGTAACCTCAAAGATCCGAGTTGTAGACATCAGGGTGTTTGTGACCCTAGGAAGGGCAGGCAACACTCAAATCTGAGTGTGCTGTTTTCATGCACCACCCAATTTCTGGGCAATTCAGGGGACAGTGTTCATAGGGATGGGACTCTGACTACGTGTCAGGACTTCTTCAGACCAGTCCTTATTCTGCCTCTGACTCACTATTTGCTCATGCAACTCCCCTTCTCTGGGCATCAGAGCTCAGACAGATGACAATTTACCATGGGCTATTTCTTCTGGAGACTGAGCCCACAGGCTGCTTAGCTGCAAAGAAATCTATGAAAACCAAATTGATTCAGAGCTGATCTCTCTGAAACATTCAGAGAACCAAATACGAGGAAATGCAGCCTAACAGCTGAATGTTAAAACAAACAAACAAAAAAAAACCCACACACCACCTACTTTGGTGCATTTACGTTATACCAAGTAGCATGACACATGTTATGCTCAAACAATTCACTTAAGCAATGACAGCAATGATTCAGCTCCTTTCTATGCACATCAGCATCATAGGTTTACTGTAATTTCTATTTTTCACACTTAGATACAGAATAATTTCTTTTCAGCCTCTACAGTATGTCACTAGATTGAAAATCTTCTACAATGAACCATGGACATCTTTGGAAAGGACACTTAGGAATGATGGTCTATTTTATCTGGGCGAGCAACCACTTCTTAAACTTGCCAGAGACTACTGAGAAAAGTCAGAGATGGAAGTTGTTTAGTTCTCTATGGAATTTTTTGTCTTAAGTCTCTGTGCACTAGAGTCTTTGCTGGAGAAACAGCTGTATATTTTGATTAGCAATAGGGAAAATAGTATTTAATCTCTAGGAAAAATAACAGTAATCTGCTTAAACACAATCCTATTCACAAGGCTTCAGTGAGCTTGTGTTCTCCTATAATCAAGATCACTGAGAGAAAACAAAAGACTGGTTTTAGGTATTACATTTCCTAAAGGACTTATTTTAATCACATGTAACTCCCAAACGGACTTAACAGATTTACTCACAAATTCTCTGAAGACTCATTCTATTTTCAGAGAGAAAAATCATCATTTTTGAGAAGAGATGTACTTTCTACATCTCTGGGGCTGGGCCTGATATGGAAAGTGAGCTCCTTATATAGGAAACTAAGTTTTTGATTTCAAAGGACAATTGCTATTGCTGCCTTCACGATGCAGCAGCACAGGACCCTGCTGATACAGGATATTATGGTGTCTCTCATTACACCAACACCAAGAACTAGGTGTGGTTCCAGGGAGCGTTTTCTTGATGACAAAGTCCCTGTGGCCACTTGTTCCTGCCTCCATACCACAGTTCACTGTCCCCTGTTATGTGCTGTATGGTACAAGTGTGTTTTACCTGGGTTCAATAAACCTGTTTTTCTGACTGATGCATAGGAATAAGTGCTTGAAGTGGGGGAGACATTTCCTTTCTATTATATCACATATTGCTACTGCAACATTGTGAAACACAATTTTAGCAATCTAATTCCTATATGCCCTGCCAAGTGCCAAGACTGCCAACTAGGCACTTGGAGTCCAACTGTCATTTGGATCGTAGTAAAACCCCAACTGAGACTCCCTTTACCTTCTAGGTTTTATGTAATTGCTCCATAAAGATAACATTTACCCTCTAGGGCTGGTCTGTCCCTCACCAACAACCACAGAAATCTTTCAGGGCTGTATGTGGTTTATGCTAGACAGTTCCAACACCTAGAAGGAGTTCTTCTCTCCCAGCACACCATATAATCCTAAATTTTAAGAACAGTAGTAACCACCATGCGCTTCAGCATCTAGTATGGAGGCATCAAAACATTCTATTACATTCACCTGTTCTTCAATAAGGCCCTAGTAAAGGAAGAGATCTCTCACCAGTTTGTTGATCTCAAGCGCGCTCTCCCGGTGTTCAACTTCCAGATGGGTTAAGGGGTGATGAAGAGGCTGACCAGGGGCAGGGAAATCTGTATTCTAAAAGAAAAGAGAAGAATAGAAACATTTGTACTTGGTGTTACTAGACCTAGCATGTCCTACCCATATGAAGCAAGGGGAAAATATCAACAAGGTTCCCACCTGGAAGTGGGACTTGATGAAGGTGGAGAAGGGGTAGCTGTTGATGGCAGGCGGGAGGGAAAGATCATCTTTGACTTTGACCTCTGGAGGCAACGTCTCAGTTATCTGCTTGGCTTGTGCTTGGTATTGATCTGGAAGAGAAAAAAATTCCCATGTTCTGGCAGTCAGGAATGTCATCAGAGTATATCTGACTTGTAGTGCAAGGCACTGCATGGCTGCTCCATGTATCTACCCACACCTGAGCATCTGTGCCAGATGCCTTGGCTTTTAGAGACACTCAGCCCACCTCTACAGTCCCCAGCCCACAAAGCAGGCACATTATCATGAATGTGAGTGCACAAGGTCTACCCTCAGTGGGGAGCTTTGACAGTTCTGATCTTTCAGACTCTTATGCCTGCATAATACCTAAAGGACAGTCAACACCTGATGTTTCAATTGCCAAAAAGAACGGAGTCATAGGGAATTCAGCACAGTTTGCTCCAGTTCACAAGGTTCTTCTGATTATTACCTACTATTGCACTATATTGAAGGTCAAAGACACACCTGTCATTTTATTAGATGATCTGCCTATGTGCCAAGGAGGCAATTCCTGCCTCAACACTTTTGCAACTTACCTATGTACATTGTATAAAGAGTCAACAGAAGAAACGAAACTATGAATAACTTCTTGTTCAAGATCAAGTCAAGCACCAGAAAAATCATTTTGATTAGTGACATTCTAGTGATTTGAAAATAACAATAATAAATAAAACACACATATATACAACATCCATTTGCCTTTATCATAATTACACTGCAATAATAATAAAATCACGTGAGAGACAGCAGGTAGAACAGACACACCAGCTGCTAGAAAACAAGATAATAAAACAAAACAGTGCAGGAGAGGGAGGAAAGGAGAGAGAGTTTCTAACCTTCAGCTAAGTGCAAGAGGGCAGCAAGTTCTGCAGGGATCTCCAGCAGTCCCACATCCTGTGGAGAGAGGGAGTAAGTCAACCACCTGGGTACCAGAAATGGGTATTTCCTGCAGGTGAATCAGCAGCTAAACCTGGACTCTGTTCTGCTGAGACTGGGTAAAGCCACCATAACAAGGACTTAAGCATCCGAAGAGCAGCAGTAATTTTGCTGCTTCCTATTAGTCTCAGTTCAGGGCAGGTACTTTTCTGGCCAGGGAGGCTTATTTATTTCTGACAAGACTACCCAGATGAAGAAGCTATTTAAAAGAGCAAAACAGCCATTAAAAATGATAATAAAATAAACGTAATTAAGCCAGTTCTCACCAGCCTAATGTTCTGGCATCTCTAAATAATATCTCAGCAATTAACAACAGATTTACATCATTTTTGAAATAGTTTGATTTTGCTCACCCTAAAGTCTTTGATTTTAAAAGAAGTTCCTCAGTGGAGTATTCAGGAAGTCTACTGTGAAATTCCACCTTGCTGGACCCAAACCTGAAGAAGTGGGTGGTATTTTAAGAGCTCCCAGAGGTGGATACTCCTATAGTCATTACTGCTAAATCCACACAAAACGGGAGGCGACAATGTGACGACCAAACTTTCCCTGCCTCACTTTCAAAGGAGCCCCAGGGGCAAGGATAAGGTGGTACAGTTTCAACTCAACACCCACACAGTAACAAGAAGGGTGGAAATAAAGAAGGTGGCCCATAGTGAAATTCCAGGTTTTCCAAAAGTTATGAATAAATAAAAATGGAAATCCCAAACCAGGTTTTAAGGAAAAGTTCTAAAATTCCCACTGGGAAATTCAGCACTAGATCACAGGCATGTCCTTGTTCTTTGCGTGAGTGCAGCAGCATCAAGTTTACATCACCTCACAAACCTTGTGTTCCTGCAAAGGGCTGAACATTCTCAACTTCCCTAGCAATTCACTAGCCAAATCCATCCCCTCCACAGGGATTGACAGGATGAGCAAAGAGGGCAAAGGCCTCATTTTAAGGCCAGGCAGAAAGGTTCCCAGAGGACAGTGAGTCATTTGGATGCCCCCATTCTGCATGTTTTTATCCAGAATCTACAATCCCTAAGAACGTTTCCAGTGTTCAGCACTCTTGTTCTTCTATCTCACAGGAACCCCAGAGAATCCCCATCCATCAGTGCCTCAAGCCTGGGGGCATGTTGCTTTTTGTCTCAGACTCTCCAGGACTCTGGTGAACCTACCATTCCTGGGCTGGGACCGTTCTCCGTGTCACCACTGGCCAGGGACTTCCTCCTTTGGTTCCCTTCTTCAAACTCCTGCTGTCAGGAAAGGGGGAAAAAATGAAAAAGATGCAAGTCCAGCTATCAGGAGCAGACACTATAGACAGGCAGGAGCTCCAGGTCTTGCTCCAGCAGATGAAATGATGAAAGAGCTGCAGGGCCTTCTTAGCACTCAGCACACAGAACGGGGAGGGGATGCTCAGGCAAAGTCCTTAGCTTTGCTCAAGCACCAAGTGCCTCCCACCCCACAGCTGAACAGCAGCAGCCTTCGCTGCCTGCTCAGCATCCCCAACACATTCTTCTTGCCTTGTCTGGTTTTCAAGGGGTCTCAGGACAAAAACAAGAACACACAGGAGTTGTTAGAAACACATTAGAAACATTCACCTGCTTCCTCCAGCACCCGAGGATGAGATAATGCAGCCTGAACAAGACCTGGGTGACTGTCTGTGAATAGGGACCCTTCAAAGGGGCCAGGAGGGACAGCAAGAGTGTCTGTCTCAGCTCTACCTTTTTCTATCTCTACCATCCCCAAACCCCTCCAACTCACCTGCTGCCTGCTCCCAGGTAGAAAAGGAGGTTGTCCCTCTCTCCCTCCTGCCTGTCTGTGCTGCAGGAGGGCACAGCTAGATGGGATGTTCCGAGGGCTGGGCTCGGAAGGATGGCAGGCATGCTAAAGTCCAAAGGGCAGGGCTGCGGGGAGGGAGCAAAGGAGGAAGAGGGCTGGGTCTCTCCAGCCGGTGAACTTTGAGAGCTTTATTGTTGCTACTGTCAAAACAGCAGCGCTGCTGTGGTTACTCAGGGCAGAGAAAAGATGGACCCTGTCCAAGTAGGAAGGGGCAGGAGGAGGAAAAGGAGCACACGCAGGTCTGGGTGCAGCACAAGGCACCTCTGCAGAGTCTTCCAACATTGACTTGAACTTTCTTCCCCATGCTTTACTAGTCAAGCCAGCAGCTGCATTGCTTTCCTCCCTCCCTAACCTGTGAACCTGCTACATGGACATCATGCTACCATAAGCCCTCTGATTTCCTATTTTCCATTTTATTTTTAACAGGTTGTGCACAATATATTCAACACTCTTGGTAGAATCAAAGCTCTTTCATACAGACAGTTTTCTATCTTCCCAAACCACTGCCACCCTATTGTCATGCTCGACTATGAACCTGGCTGATTTCCAACAGGCTAAAGACACCAGAGCCTGAAGTAGCTGTGGGAGGTCAGTGAAGGGTGGACAGAAATCTTGCATTTCCATCACTATTTGGGATAACACCAGAAATTAAACTGAGCAACTGCAAGAGTGCTGCCTCATTACAGCCTGAGCAGAACAGCTGCTCTCAAGCCCAGAGCTGGAACAGACTCAAGTCTTCTGTGAGGCCACCTAGAGATGCTCACACTCACAGAAGTACTGCCTTCACCAATTCTGTACCTTGTTTACAGAGAAAAGGTTTCAGTCTCAGTAATTGCTCTTTGTGACTATATTTATCTCAGAGAATGAAAGACAGTTTTACCACATCACTGCCTCATTTCCAACAAACCATCTTGAAGACCAGCCCTGCCCTGGCCTCACCCACTCACCAGCCCTCTACAAATAGCTCTTGCAGTACATGTCCTGAGAAGAGGGCTGTTACCTGCCAGTGCTTCCTCTTTTGAACAAAGGGTTTGGAGATTAAAACCATGATCTTAAACTGCATCAAAGTTTTCTTCCGTCTTCTGTATTGCTTCCTGGAGGGTTGTGGAAAGAGAAGAGTTGTAAATGAGAAGCAAGTATCAACAAGTTTGGGCATACTGTGGACTCAATTCAAGATATTTGGGCAAACATAAGGTTAATGTAGCCAGCCAGCCTGGATGTGGTGTTAAGCCCTTGTTAAGCCTGGTCTCATCAGGAACTGCCTCCACAACCTCCCTGGGCTCCAGAGAGCTCCAGCCATTCCAGTAAGTTCATCTACCATGACTCCCCAGCCAGGGGCCTGGCCAGGGACATCTTCACCTCCTCATCCTGAAGGAGCACAAGGGCAGGACTTGGCCTGACCTTTGTCTCCTGACCTTGCCTGGTAACCACGGAAGTAAGCCTGGATGATGGTGACTTTTTCCTGGAGAACGCAGAGGCGCCTGCGGTGGAGGAGGCGGTGGAAGTTCCTCTGGAGGGTTACAATGGCCCAGGTCTGTCTCTGGCTCCGTCGTCTCTCCAGCAGCTGCCTGGCCTTCTCCCTCAGGAATACCTGGGCAAAGGGAGCAGCTGCAGATCCACAAAGAAGCTGCCAGCTTCTCTAAGGAGTTACCAACAATAAAAAGTTGCCGGTTTACCTCCCTGGGGCTTTGCTGCCTCCAAGACCCTCTGCTAAGGGAAGGAAGCTTTCCACAGGGGAGAGGAGGCGGCTTAGGAAGAGGAAACAGGGGAGAGGGACGGAGGCAGTTGTGGAAGACTGTTCAGGAGCAGGTCATTGGGGAGTGATGGTGGTTAGCAGACAGGGAAGGAGGAGGGCTAGCTGGACTAACAAGTCAGCCCTGCTGCTACAACAACCTGGAGCAGCATTTCCTGGTTTTCCATCCAAAACACTAAAAACCTCCCCTTATACCAAAGACAGGAGGCAAAGCAAAATGGAGGCAGAGGTAGGCAGTGTTCTTCCTCTCTGGGCAGAAGCGCTGAGGTGCTCCCTCCCAGGTGACACCCAGCAAAGAGATGGCTGGAACTGTGGGCTTGAGATTCTCTATAAGTAGCACCTTTGTTACTCCAATCTGATAGAGTTCAGAGGGGTTCCCCACCACGTGGGACAGCACTGCTGCACAGCCCTCCCTCTCCTCCAAGCAGTCATGTCTTCTCACAGCCAGGAGTCCGTATCTGGAAGACAATAAACTGATATAAGGGAAGCCAGGGATCTACCAAGGCCTTGAGTGGAACTGCAAGCCAATAAACCACTACCTGGCTAGGAAGTTCTGGAATGGAAAACAGACTGGGTATCCCTCCTTTCTAATGTGGATGGCCTCCAGTATCCCAGAATGTCTCAGCTGACAAGCAACGTACTCCATATCAAAGATATTTGACAGCTGTGGACATAAGGCACAATTAAAAATGGAAAAGGAGAAAGGAAAGAAAAAAAATAAAAGGAGACAGAGGGCTGGGTGCTTAGAAAGGGGCTCCTTCTATTGGCCTGTCCTCAGATAGATCTTCCAGTGGTCTGGGGGACAGGACAAACTACCCATCAAATCCTTCGGGTGTCCAGTTGACATTAGTTTCTTATTCCCTGGCATGTGGTCAGCTCACACAGCCACAGGGTTGGGTGCGAGAAAAAGGAAGGGGAAGAAAAAAGGGGAAGAGAAGTCTTAGCTATCAACTGAAATTAAAAGTCTGAACCCAACTGTAGCCAGCAAGCTGATGGAGACGCCTGGAGTACTTCTGCTGCTCAGGATCCTACCTTACCTTTCTGGGATTAGGGGTGATGCACCGAATGAAGAAGGCATGGCTCCTGCAAAGTAGAAGAAAAGAAGGAACTTTCACCAGCTCCTCTCTGTGCTGATCTGGGCAGACTTTGCAGTGCCTCCACCAGCCCAAGACACCTCTCTCCACCACACACCACCAACCTCTCATGCTGCCCTCACAACCAGACCCTGCTCAAGCACCCACTCTAATCAATCCCAAAATAAGCAAGGGGGAGAAGTTTCTGGGTGCGGCGATCAGCCCAAAGTAGGGATGGCACCATAACAGCATCTCTCACCTTCTCAGCTTGGCTGTGAGGTCCTGCAGAGACTGCTCAAATCTGGACACCAATGTGGAAACCTGAGGCTTGAGCCCTTTCCCTCTGCTCCCCAGCTCCCTTTGCTGATCGTAGGCAGCCTTAGCCTTCTGGAAAATGTGAGACACCAACTGGAAAGACACAGAGGAACAACCAGAGCTCCCTCAACCACATGGTAAGAGCAGTCCTTTTTATCTGAAACTGGAATTTACTCTTTGTCCCAGCTACATCTTGAGGCAGTCTATAAATTTTAAGACTCTCCCCACCAGTCTTTCTGCTTCTCATATGAAAACCGTAAAGGGCCTGTTAGGTGCCTGAAGCCTAGATCCTCAACCTCACCCACTCGAGTACCTTGAGGCGGCTCTGAGAGAAGATATCCAGCACCTCAGGACGCAGCTGGTCACGGTTTTTAGCAAGAAACTTGTGGACCTGCAAAGACAAAGTCTGATTTAATGAAGAGTACAGATCAACAACTCAGAGAGGCAGATGCCTCTCCCCCATGTGTCTGAGATTAGGACAGACAGGCGGAAAGGGAGGCTGGGAACAAATGCTAGAGACTGAAGCTTGTTGTCCCTTTTGCCACCAAGCATGGAGAGGAAAGTAGCTGCTGCTTGGAGGAGGGATGGCCCTTCTCTCCCTCACAGTGGAAGAGGCTGCCAGACAGGCTCTGACACATCAGTTTGTCCCCTTCAGCAGCACCAGCTTTTCTGGTTTTCCAAGGCTCTTGTGTGAGCAAAAAGTAGGTAATTCCAGTTACCTGTTTTGCTTCTGCCCACAGTCAGCCCTGGTTGTCTCTCCTCACTGCTGATTAACTGTACATCCCTCTGAAGTGTCAGCGTGTTACAAAGACTGGGGGTTGTTCATGGCACTCGGAGCTGGTCCCTCTGGACACTCACAGCATGTTTCCACTCAGACCCACTGCTCCGAGCCACCTGCCAACCCACAGAGCTCACCTGATAGGTGACAGGGCCCCCATAGTGTTTGATAGTGAAGACTGGCAGAGGTAGCTTGGGTTTGGTGTACCAAGGGCTGTCCCCGTGATGGTAATGACACTTCTGCAGGAAAGTGTGGTCAGTGGCCTGAAAAGGAGATGACAAACACATTTCCTACTGCTCAACATATTCTGTGGGTCAAAAAGCCACTACTATACTGATGGCACAAACACATAGTATACCTCTGTAAAGACAAAAATACTTCTGCTAAAGGGTAGAACTACCCTGCCATATCCATCCTGTGAGAGGGCTAAAAAGGGTTCCTCACCTGAGGCAGTGAAGTCTGGTCATCCAAGACACGCAAGATGCCATGGGGTTTTGCAGAAATGAAACTGAGGCACGACTCGCTGTACGTCTTGGAAATGGGAATCCAAACTAACTGTTCTTGCCTATATTCCTCCTGCATGTTAGAGATCAACCAGTCAAATCCAGTTACAAAAACAGAACAAATTCAAGGAGTTAACAAAAATATTTGATTTAACTCTTCAAGAAGCTAGTGTATTCTTCCTCATGAAAGGAGGCTCTGTAGGGGCTGCTGCCTCAGCTCATTCCAAACGTGCTGCCCCTCATCTGCTGTCAGCAGTTCCACTTACCTCCTCTTGAGCAATGACAGTCTGGCTGAAAAAATGCTGGAGATGCTCATTGGCAAAGTTGATGCAGAGCTGTTCTAAGCTGTTCACTTCTAGATCCTACAAAGACAAAAAGGCATCACACGTCCAACTCACAGCCCCACAAGAAGGCTGTGCCTTTGGGGCATAACACCCAGCACCAGCTAGTGCTCATCTGAGCCCCTAGTTCAGGCAACTTGATTTAATCAATTGACCCTGCGAAATCCAAACCATCTCATGTTTGGGTTGTAAGCTCTCAGTGTGGTTTATTGACTAGGTTGAACAGGAAGGGACAAAACAAGCTGTGAAGGAACATGAAGAAAAAGAGATATCCTCTTGGATGCCCATCCCCACTTGTATACATACCATCGTCCTCACCACACACTAGGCCAAGTGTAGACTTTAACATGAATCCTAAGTATAAAACCCACAGACCTTAAATTACATGGTGCAAAAAACGTTGTTTCTGCAAAGACAGGATGAAATTCCCTCCCACCTCTATCAGCAACTGGAGACAGTGCACACACTTGTAGCCCATGAAATATGAAAGGAATGGGAAGAGCAACCTCAAAACCATAAAAGTCCACAATGTCCACGGTGCAGTCTGTTTCTGAAGGAGCCAACCACTCGTTGATCCTTAGCAGCAGCCATTCGAAGAGCAGGTAATACAGAGTCTTGGCAATGGAGTCTCTGAGTGGAAGAGAGGAGTAAAGACAATTACAGCAGACAGAGCCCTTGGGTGCATCTCACCAGCTCAGACAAACAGCAGCAGGAAGTACCTGGCATCAATGGCTCCTTCTACAGACAGAGGGGTGAAGATCCGATCATATGACATCACCTGGGCACATAACAATAAATCACAGCTTTTTTATTATCTTACTATTCCCCACACACACTGTAAAGGAAAAAATAAAAACAGAATTTTGCTTCCATATCTATGTTGGAGAGTCAGCTAGCTAAGATGTTAAGCCTAAAACCATCTCACGTTAGAAAACAGCCTCTTAGATGTGAGCCCTGCCACTTTACACCTCTTCACTCGGAGAGTTTCCTCGAGAAGTTCAGCACATCCTTCCTGATCTAGCACAGAAACCATTTTGAGGCACTTTTTCTGCAGTTACTTCCCAGATTTTGGACCCCCCAGAGTAGCAGCTGAGCTCTGCTGACAGAGCATGACATCTCTCGGGATAAATGTGAAAGGACAGAGAGGTGCTCACAGTGACTCGGTGAGTGACAGCACTCTGCAGGAGATCTGCTGAGATGCTCAACAAATTAGCCACAATTCGAATCTCGGTATCACTGGCAATGGCTGCATGTTCAAATGATCCTTTCTAGAGGACGGAGAACAACAGATTAGATTGTGGACGAGACACCAGATAAAACTAATACTTCTGACAGTATCTCAGCAGCACAGAGACAGGTCACACAGCCAGGACAGGACACCACCATCTAGGTTCACTTTGACTCCTCAAACAGTCCTCCAAGCTCTAGTGGCCCTTGGTTGCCTCCCATCTTCTGTCCCTGCCTACATCAGTCTCAAATCTCATATCCAAGAAACAAGATGGTCTTCGGATCATATCATGTTCAGTCAAAAATAACAACCTTGGTCTTATCACACAGGACAACTGCAGTGGCCAGCACTGGTGGCCCAGTGCCAAGCTGCCAAGGGTCAGTGTACCTCATAGGAGGTAAAGCAGATGTTCCCCAGCTGCAGAATGGCAGCCAGCACAGCCCAGGCAGAGCTCATCTGGTCTTCTGAAAGGCTGATCCCCTCCAGAGCTTGCACCAAGACCACAAAGTCCTGGCTGTCCTCCTTCCCCGGGATGTCACACGCTCTGCCCTGGAAAAGGGATAGAAAGCCGTGGTCAGGCCTCTCTGCCTCCCAGCTGGAGCAGTTCCCAGCAGCAAGCTTCCCACAAGGATTCCCAGGGCAAGGGTTGGAAGCATCTGAAAAAGAAAGATCAGAGACACCACAGCCAGCTGCCACTAGTGGGAGCTCAGCACTCACAGCAGACCAGTCTCTTTTCTCCTTGGAGTGTTTGAGAACAGGATCCCTATGGCCCACAGGGAATATGTTTTGATGATGCTCCCAGTATGGGTGCCCACAGGCACCCCTTGCCCGCTGCTGGAGAGCAGCTTGCCAGGAGAGGGGATACTGGAATCTCCTCCAGAGTTACTACCCCAGGTGGTACCAGAACCTGATGTATCGAGGCCAAGCAAATGGGTTTCTACACACAGAGAGCACAGTCACCTCTGACACTACGCACAGGTCACTCCCATATTTCTCATGCCTTTCTCTACAAGGGTGACACCCCCAATAGCTACTTGTGATCCTGAAGCACTTGGAGGTCCTGGCCCAAGAAGGTCCGTAGAACCTGTCTGTGTACAAGAGCTGTCTCTGAAGAAAGCTCCCAACTGACATCAGATTCAGATAAGGAAAAAAAATGAGGTCCCAGCAGCTCTTGTGCTTTTTCTTGCCAAGCCTGAGATCTAAGAGAGATTTTGTCAGTCGCTACTACTATCCACGTGATCTGATCTTTTTCCATCTCTTCTCCACAGCAGGCTGACTTGCTCCTACCCACCATCACCCTAGGACATCACACCTCACAGGACCTGGTTTACAACACAAGGCCTTTACCACCAAACCTCCACCATGGGAATATAAGAGCATCTTTTTGCAGATGTAGCTACATCCCCTCTACAAATAGGGTTGGCTGAGCTGAGAAAAAATCCCAAACTCCTATCAGAGCAGCTGCATCAAATCCAGCAGGTTCTAGCAGGATAATGCTGGGACAGGTGCAAGTTTTGCACAGGACAAGTCAACACAACCTTGCCAGCAGACCTCAGAAACAGCAGAGTCTTCTCAGTTATTCCCAGGCGGCAGGCAAATGTGTTTTACCAAACTTCAGCACACACTTGCCCTCAAGCAGGTAAGTTTTCTAGCCCTTAACAATTGCCTAATAAATGTCTCCTGGATAGGACAGGCCCTTAAATTGTCCTCTATCCTTGAGTCATTGCTACTTGCCCCTTCCTTGCCTGAAAGAAAGATGATAGCAATCATGTGTCCAGCATCCTCAAATGGCCACAGCTGCTATACAAGAGATTGTTTTTTCACCTGGGAAAGCTGACCCACACAGCTGAAAGAGGAAAGACATCTTGCAGATGCTCTAACGCCCTGAGTGTGGAAACAACTCTCAAGCAAAAACAACTGGGCTCCAAGATGATGACTTGCCAAAGGTCTAGGGAACAGTTTTCTGCTGCAAATAAATCTGAATGAAAAGTTTACTGCAGGGGTTTTAGAATTCCCATCCAGTGACTCAGTCAATTAATTAAGTGCATTTTGGAGAAGGTAAAAAAAAAATTCCCCTTGTTTAGTTCTGAGAAGAAGAAAAACAAACAAACAAAAAACAAAACAAAAAAAAACCCAACACACTAAGAAAAGGTGCCAAGCAAGGGATTTCCACACCACGAGGTGGAGCCAAGGGGCCATACAATGGCTGGACTTCTTTTAAAAGAGAAGCTTCCTTTGAGAGCTGCAGAGGCCATGAACAAAGAGGAAACAAGACACCAAGACATTCCTTCTTGGGTCAGGTGGGAGAAGGAGCAGAGCCAACCAGAGTCCTCTGAGGGGCACATCAGGAGGGAAGCAAAGTTGGCTGGTGCCTCCTAAAGGGCTTTGCTAATCAGAGAGAAGTCTCAACAGTTTTGCTCTGTCAGCTGGAGCATCATCACCCCACTCACCTGGTTCAGGTAAAAGTAAGACTCTGCCTCTTGGAAGTAGAGCTCCTCTTTCTGTTCCATAGGCAGCCCAGCCAGTAGCTCATAAAACACATGGTAGTTCCTCTCACCATGGGCCTAATGGGATACACAGTTTATAGAATTAATCATAGAATCATAGAATGCTTAGGGTTGGAAGGGACCTCTAGAGATCATCTAGTCCAACCCCCCTGCATACGCAGGGTCACCTAGAGCACGTGGAATAGGACTGCATCCAAGCGGGTTTTGAAGATCTCCAGAGAAGGAGACTCCACAACCTCTCTGGGCAGCCTGTTCCAGTGCTCTGGCACCCTCACTGTTAAGAAATTAAGATTAATTATAGAATTAAATTCAGTTCCAGGACACCCTAGGGACCTGGAACCATGCTGCCACAAACCAAGCACGGCAGTGGACACAAACACTCACGTCAGTGATTTAAGGGCAGAAAACACCTAAGAACTAGGTCATTTGAAAATTTTCCAGCGTTTCTCACTGATACCTTAGGAGCATCTGAGAGCAGTTCCTTATACAGGGCTCCAATATCTGACTTTCTGGACTCCAGACATGATGAAAAATTGGGCAAGGAAAGACTTAATTGGGTGAGAAAGCCCTAATAAGTGGCTTGATTCAACCTGCTTGAATTTGAGAGAGTTCCTATTTTATTTGAATAAGAGAAGTGGACACCTTGTGACATATTTCTTGCTAACAGAAGAAATGGCAGGGAAATCTTATGCTTATTCCCAACCCCTTTGTTTAACAGTGAACTTAACATAAGATATGAATAATACAGAGAGTGAGGGACCCATCAGTCCTTACCTGAAACACCACACGAGACTTCTCCAGCAGGTACTGGGAGATGGACATTCCCACCATGGCCCCACTGGGTTAAGGAGGAGACACTCTGTAAGAGGCTGGTGACAGATTTCCTGTACGTCATTTATCCAAGGGTCTAGCAGACAGTTGACACCAG